CCATCCAGCTGCCTGCTTGTGGCCTGGGAAGGCAGTGGAAGATGCTCAAGGTTTGGGACCATGCACCAGCCTGGGAGACCCAGAAGAAGCTCCAGGCTCCTGACTTCAGATATACTCAGCTCTGGCCATTGCAACCACGTGGAGAGAAAATCAGCAAATGGAAGATCTTTCTGTCTATCCTCCTCTCTGTATATCTGACTTTCAAATAAAAATAATAAATAAGTCTTTAAGATTTAAGACTTCATGGATTTTACATTTTTGGAAAGTGTATAGAAAATAGAATTAATGAGTAATTTTTTTTTTCTTTTGGTATAAACATTTGAAAATACGGGGGCAGGTGCATTTGGACTAGCAAGTAAAGCTTTGGCCTCTAATGGTTGTCCATCCCAGTCCCAGCTGGTCCACTTCTGATCATTTCCCTATTAACGCTCCTTGCAGAGTAGTGGAAGATGACTCAAATCCTTGAGCCCCTGCACCCATGTAGGAGACCAGGAAGAAGCTCCTGGCTCCAAACTGGCCCAGTCCATGCCATTGCAGTCATGTCGGATACGGACCACAAGAAAAAAGCTATCTGTCTCTGTCTTTCTCTATAACTCTGCCTTTCTAACAAATAAGCATTTTCAAATAAATTTTATTTTTTATAATGATTACCTGGTGGATCAGGGTAGGAAGGATTGAGACTTAGGGAAAACTGAGTATACTCATTGCTTCCAAATTTGCTATTTCTTCTTGTTGTTTCTGAGGGAAGGGGAAATACACAGGGAAATCACTCATGACTTTCCACACGTCCCGGTACCCAGGGATGAGTAACCGCCACCTCCTATGAACCCTGAATCTCAATGTGTACATATCCTGAGGGTTCTGTCCAAGTGGTTTGGGTAGTTCTGAAATGCTGCCGATTTCACCAATCCGAGGATGATGTCACCCTCCCAATGTCCAAAAGCTCCATTTTTTAAACATTTTTTAAACATGAAATCTATGTATACTATGTCACATACACATTTCATTTAGTGGTTTCATACTATATATGTTATTCTGTTATTTTCAACTTCTTGTGTTTAACTTAAAAATTTAAATCATGCATAGTTATTTTTAGTTTATATCGTCACATATCATGGTTGTTAATTTTCTTATATTGCTCCTAAATCAATGGATGTTTCTTTCAGTGGCCAGGAAAATGAATCTTGTAAATTTCCCCACTTTATTATTTTTAATTAAATGTGTGCTAGTAACAATTCATTTTATTCAGTAAGATTTTCCACCTTATTCTAAATGATGCTTATATTTGCCATAAACTATCATTCAATGAAGATAAGTATTACATAAGGGATATACGCATTTAGCCAATCTAGATCTAAGGTTCAATAAATTAGGTTTTACAAAAAAGAAATACATATGTATAAACATTTGGGAACATTTACATATATATAAAATCTGCCCGTGAATTAAAAAAATTAAACACATATACAATGCAAATAAATTTTTTTGCTGGAAATGGTTATTAGTGAAAAACAAAAAGTACTGCAGAAATATTTTAAAGAAGTCTTAATAACTTTTAGGACAACTGTACTGCATGTTTAAAAATTTTTTTTAAAGAAATCAAAATAGTAAGCCAGAAAAATGATAAAAGATTAAATTTAAATCAGTGTTATCTGGATCTAGATTCCTTATACACCTGAGAATAATGTGCCTGTTAGTTTTATTTTTTAATAGAAACATATTGCTATGTTTTTAAGCTGGAGTTTTCCAATCATCTGGATAGTAAAGTAACACTTAGTATAGAATATATTAACTTAAAAACAACCAAGTTGGATCATTTAAACTGAAATAAGTAATAACACACTACTAGACTTTTATTGCCTAAAGACATTGTTAAAGGAAAATACCATACTACTTGTGGCAGAAAAACAAGCCTTCTTTTACATGTATATGAAAGAATTAATGTTAATATTTCATATGTGAAATACTCTCAAGGAGTGGGAAGGCCTACCAGTGATGCTTGCAGCTAGTATGAGCTTTCTGATAAATGCTAAGCTGAATACTGCAGCTTTAATTGAAGTTTGAATGTTGTAAACAGACGTCTGGCTCTGGCCTGCATTCTAATACCATCAGCAGAATAGGGATAGGAAGCATAAACAAACCTTTTAACTAGATTACAGTCTCTAAAATGGCCAAGAAATCCTTCAGCACAAACTCCAGTGTGATAAATGTGGAAGCAAGAAAATGACTTCAGGATAATGATTTAAAAATAGATTTCTGGGCCCAGCGCGATAGCCTAGTGGCTAAAGCCCTCACCTTGAGTGCTCCAGGATACCAAATAGGTCTCAGTTCTCATCTCGGGTGCCCCACTTCCCATTCAGCTCCCTGCTTGTAGCCTGGGAAAGCAATCTAGGATGGCACCAAGCCTTGGCACCCTGCACCCACATGGGAAACCTGAAGGAAACTCCTGGCTCTCTGGATTGGCTCAGCTCCGGTCTTTGCGGCCACTTGGGGAGTGAATTAGTGGACAGATCTTCCTCTCTCTCTCCTCTCTGTATTTCTGACTTTCCAATTAAAAAATATCTATATAAAAAAAAAAAGAGCCTTCCAGTTTCTTTCATTAAGGGATGATTTTCTACATATTTTGATGTCATTGAATATTAATGATAAATTTTACATTTAACTTTTTTCTTACACAGTAGCTACTGTTTAGATTACTACATCCTAAGGAATCTATCTAAAATCAACATTTCCTTCTGCTGAATGTGGTATGCTACCCATCCTCAAATTCGATGAATATATACATACAGTTTGAATTGTTGTTTTTAGATGTTAATATTAAGAATACATGGATTAAATTGAAGGCCAACAGATTAGTAGAGAATTCATAAGGCATAATTTTTTAAAAAACTAGCTGTGAATGTAACAGTGAGACAAAATGAACGTTACACTCAATCTTAAAAAACATTTTAAACTTACTTCTAACTTCTAAGATAGTTATTCAAGTTAAAAAAAGAAAAGATAGTACAGGGATGTAAGTATTAACATTAGCACATAGCAGAAAAAAAAAATTCTTTTTAGTGCTGTACTCTTGGTTAATTGGAAAAAAAAACAACTCAATAAAACATGGATATATAAAAATATTTCCCCACTGCAGAGTAGAGAAGAACTGACATAACTCATCTGAGTCTTTCAAAACAGTAAATCCTAACAATCTACTTAATAATACAGAATGTAATTGTACATTCTCTTAGAATGTTTTATAGATCAACTGAAATAAAGACTCAGAACCTATCACACACACAACACTGCTGAAGTGTTAAGCTTCGTACCAGGATCAGTACCATGAGCAACTTCTTTTCCAAGAAGACCAGCTGCATTATGAGATATATCTGTCAACCTTGGATCCTCCTTGTTTGTTTCAGACTGAAATCCACACATTCTAACTTATCAGATCTTGCCAATGAAAATGCTGAGAAAGCAGAATCTTTAATTTTTAACTGAGTTATCTTTAGACAATCTAAAGCAAATTATTTCAGATTGCAGACAAACTCTATCCCACTGGCTACTCAGATTGTTCTGGTAAGCTAGAAACTATTTATAAAAAAAATTTTTTCTGAAGTATAATAGTATAATTTATAAAAGTATAGATTCTTCAGAGTTTGCAACTATTTCCAAAATATGTAGGCACTAATGTTTATATGGTAACAAACATAAACATACATAAAACAATGATCATCAAAGGTAATATCAAAGGATAATTGTAATTATCAGTGGGTTCACGGATTCAATAAAAATTTTAATTAATTTTTTGAGAGAGAGAGAAAAAAAAAAGCTCTTCCATTCATTGGTTCCCTCCCCAGATGGCCCTAATAGCTGGGACTGGGTAAAGACAGGCAGAGCCGGAAGCTTCTTCCAAGTCACCCACATGAGTGACAGGAGCACTGAGTCATTTTCTGCTGCTTTTTGCAATCCACTAGCAGGAAGTTGGGCTGAAAGTGGAGCAGGTGAGACATGAACCTGGGCACATGTGGGATGCTATGATGGGGAGGGTGGCTTTACCTGTCATACAATACTGGACCCTATGTAAAAGGTTTAAGGAACAACTAATTATGGGCACTTAGTTATCTAGATAATTCAAAAGTTGTCTATTCTTCAACTATTTCTAGAGGCAATCATTTAGCACTGTGGCCTCCGTGCTGGTTAAGACATCTGTGGTCTGGCGCCTGCTTTGTGGCATTGGCAAAGCCATTACCTGTGATGCCCACATCCTATATGGCCACTGTTTGCTTTCCAGCTGCTCCAATGCTGACCCAGCTTCCTGCTAATGGCCTGGAAGAGGCAGCAGCAGGTGGCTTAAATATTTGAGCTCCTGACACCCATGCGTGAGACCTGAAAGAAGCTGCTGGCTTTTGGTTGCAGCCTGGTCCAGCCCTGGCTATTGCAGTTACCTGGGAAGTGAACCAGAGAATGGAAGATCTCTATTGCTCCCTTTCTCTCTTAATCATTCTCTCAGGGCCCAGCGCGATAGCATAATGGTTGAAGTCCTCGCCTTGAACACAGCAGGATCCCATATGGGTGCTTCTAATTCCGGAAACCCTGCTTCCCATCCAGCTCCCTGCCTGTGGCCTGGGAAAGCAGTCGAGGACGGCCCAAAGCTTTGGGACCCTGCACCCACATGGGAGACCCAGAAGCTCCTGGGCTCCTGGCTTCGGATTGGCTCAGGTCCAGCCATTTGGCTGCTTGGGAGTGAACCATTGGCTCCCCAATGGATGGGAGATCTTCCTCTCTGTCTCTTCTCTCTGTGTATATCTGCCTTTCCAATAAAAAATAAATAAATCTTTAAGAAAAAATAATTCTCTCAAAAATTGAAAAATTTTTAAATTTTAATTTAAAATTTTTTTTAAAATTTAAAAAATTTTTAATTTCTTTTAAATTTTAATTTTTTAAAATTTGAAAATTGAAAAAATTTTAAAGAGTCTATGTTTTCTGAATACTTGAGTATGATATCTGAGATCTAGACTCTGTCTTCCTACAGTAATGACCCTAATTACTTAAGTTCTACTACTGCTAAGGGACACCTTGATTGAGTTCCTGGATCTTGGCTTCTGCCTGGACTAGTCTCCAGCCATAATGAGCACTAAGGAGTGATTCAGCCACAGTCTTTATTTCCTCTTCCTCTCAAATAATTTAAACAAATTTTTTAAAAAAAGATTCTTTCTGGAGTACAAAAAAAAAAGTGTTAACCTTAATAGTATGCATGAAATGAACATGAGAATGCTCTGTGACAGACTAGAAGGTGATATTTGTACATATACTAATGCATTAAACAGATTACATTTCTTTTTGTTCAGTGGTTTTCTTCTTATAGTATAATTACATTAAAAATTTACAATAATTGCTCAATGGGTCATATATTGCTGAATCCTCCAAACATTATGTAACAAAATGCTAAATCCAAATCCTTGCAAGTTAAAATTTAATCTTGAGAAGCCTACTTGACTGCACTAACATTCCTTATAGAAACCTGGATTGCTGCTTGTTCTCTGTCCCTGTCAACGAGTAGAGATTTTCTATCACTCTATCAATAAGCTACTGATGCCATAACTCCATAGCTTCATTCATGTTTACTGGAGTACAGGCTAATAATAGTTCTTCATTGTGACCATGTTTTCCATTATTAAGTGTCATGAAGTTAACATGCTAGGGTGCTTTGCTGCTATATAATGATAAAATGAGGTGGTTAGCAATTGATTTCCAAATTTTTAACATGAGGAACATGATGAAAAGTTCACAAAGAACATACTGAGGACAACAGGAATTAATGTATTTATCACAATGCCAGGTATACATATAAGTAAAAACTATGGTTATTTACAAAACAAAAATTTAAGAAAGAATGTGGAAGAGATCAGAATTTATCATTTACAAATCTGTTTTTCTTTCCAGTACACCATACTGGCATGGACATTCCTATCTTTTCAAAAACTATGCATCAATAGTACCCTACATGACTTTAAGGAAGACAAACTCAGATTAGTACTTCATTCTCTTAATAAATGGTTCTATTACTTGTAAAAACTATGACAAAGAATGACATGATGCTTTCGAATACCCATCTACTGAAGAAACTTCCAAGTTAAATACCAAAGTTATAAAAACAGTATCAAGCAATAAGTTTAGAACTAATACTGGGAAGTTCTTTGTAAGGATCTTGGAATAATATTTCTAAAGTATTTCACATATCCCAAAGCTTCTACGTACTGCACACTAATTACAACACAATAATTTAATAATTGTTATATTTGCATGAAATGTGAAAATATTTTAAAAGTCCAAATGAAACTATATAATATCCTCCAAATAATCAGGTTATGACAACCTGGTAAATGAAATATAAAATTTAGTTCTGAGAAGAAAGTTCATGTGTGGAGAATATGCATTTCTTGTTTTGGAAAAAAAGTAATGACGTAATGTAATAACTGGTATTGATCATCTTCGAATTTAAGAGTTTTGTCTTGTAATAAAAATTGAGCAATGGTAGTCACATGGGCCTTATCATTGTCTAAAATGAATGAAGTGCACAAAGAATAAACTTTTTAGAATATAGCAGTAAATTGAAAAAAATTTTAATATTTTTCTATTTTAACACAATTAACCTATTTAAACACATATTTTCACACCTAACAATATCCACTTAGTTAATATAACATTTATTCATGTAGAACGCCAAGGTAAAAATATGACAAATACACTTGAAGAATACAATTATGATATCTTTTCACATCAAACTGTAAGGATGATCCTCGTTTTCAAAAGCCTAACACAATGCCTGATAGACATCAACAGACACGGAATGAATAGCTAAACATAATTTGTTTTGTAACATACATTCAAAATCCACATAGCTTTACAAAGATACAAAGGTTGGACATAGGTTTTCTGGCTGACTTCATGGGGGTCCCAATGATGACTAGGAGTAAATCTTCAGAAAACTGGAAAGCTGTTAACTGTCTGGGTAGGGATCAAAAAAACAAAGTCAGGGAAATGTGTCACCTAAATAACAGTTGCTTTAGAGAGCTGGTAACACTAGCCTAATTTTTCAATAACCTATTGTCCAGGATGTCAATGAAATGAAATTTCTGTGCATCCTGAACAATTACATGTATATTTTTAAATGACTTTTTAAAATCATTGTTTATAGAAAACAAAACACTTGTTAAAAATTATATTCTGTACAAGGATTAGAAAGGAGTATGAAATTTACTTATTACAAGTACTACATTGTTAAGAATATATAATTTGGTTGTTAATCAGGAAGAGACCACCACAGCAGAGACTAAAAAGTTTCTTGAGAAAAATTTTCACATTAGCGAAACTACAGCCAGGAGAGAAAAGGAATCTCACATATAGCGATGTAGAAATACAAGGCAGTCCAGTATCGACATGTTTGGTGAGAAACAACCAGTAAGGCCTATCATGTTTTAGGCATTGTCCCATGTCAAGAGTCACAAATAAATGTTTTAAATGCACCTTGAATTCTATTCATATACATTATACACACACACACACACACCCTTAATAAGACTAGCAAGTATATTGAGTAAATGGAAATGCAGGGAGGAACATTAATATCAGAGAAAGTTGAAATAATTTCTAAGGGAATCACCCAGAAGAAGTGAAGTTAGTAGCCTTGAAAATTAGCAAAGAATTATTGACTTACAAACATAGCTTTAAATCTATTTACTTTATTCCTACATTCTTAGAATACAAGAATATTCTTACATTCTTAGAAGAATATACGTCCACACAAAGCCCATAGGTGCTATATACAGAAATCACACATGGTAGTTTTAAGCCTGACAAAGCAGAACGAGATAATACAGCATGGTGAGTCAAGAGACTTGAGTCATGTAGGCCTTCTCTGCCCATCTGCAGACTTATAAGCTCGGGCAAGTTCTTCAAAGTCCCTGAACTTCAACCTTACCCAAAACAAGGCTGGATAGGAGTAGTCTTGGGCACAGCAGTTAGGATTTCATTTGGGATAATTGCATCCCATACTGGAATGCCTAGGTTCCAGGCCTGACTCCACTTCAGATTCCAGCTTCCTGTTAAGGCACACCCTGGGAGGCAGCCAGCAATGCTTAGAAAATAGGATCCATGTCACCCACATGGGAGACTGAGACTGAGTTACAGCTCCCTGACTGTACTCTGGTCTGGCCCTGGTTCTTAGGGGACATCTCAGGAGTGAATCTACACATACAAGACATCTCCCTACTGGCTCTGTCCCTCCGTCATCCAAAGATAATGAAATAAGTAAAAGTTTAAAAATCAGCTGGATCCGTTGACCTCCAAGATATTACCTAGATGGAAAAAAAAAAATCACCATCCCAAAATATCAATTGTTCTTACTATTTTTAAAAATAAGCTGCAATAAAAATACAATAAAAGGGTTCAAACATAAGTCATTATTTCATTTAGAGAAAGTCTAGAATCTTCCAGCCATAAAGGATTGGGGAGAGGAATGGAGGGGAGGTAAGAAATGTTTTCAAAGGAAAACAGAAACACAATAAATAAAGGTATTAGAGTAAATTTTTTATTCAGCTGCCTGTTAGGCAACTACCATTTCAATTAGCTACACAATTCACTTTAAGTTAAAATTTATTCTTCACTAAATTATGTTAATGTTAAGGTAGCTGAGGGTTTTTTCTTTTCTTTTTTTTTTTTTTTTTTTGCAGGAGGGTGAGGGCGGGGAGGAGGTGAAGGCTAAGAAATGTTACGTGGCCTGGAATTGGTATTAATGTTGGGAGAAAAATTTGAATTTGCCAGTTTTCTGCTTAAGCACACCAATTACACCTCAGAGAAAGATAAGAAACGGTTCAAATTTATAACAGAAAAATAAGACCACAGTATTTACTGCTACCAGCTCCCCCCATGTATAAATACCTAGTTTTGCACACTGTTTGTAATTAAAATTTTCCAGAACACATTTCCACATATGAAATGGTTTTCTGACATTACAATATGAGTAAATGTTTTCTTGGCTTTACCATGAGGAAAATAAAAATCTTCAAGTATTATGTGTTTATCATATTTGTATCAAATATCCTTCTAGACATCTATTTCTTCAATCCTTTCTTGCTGGTGAAATTGCTGTTTTCCATTTGCAAGGCTGATCACAAAATTGCTGCTTTACAGAGGAATATTTTTTTGCTGACATAAATTATGGGATCAGAGATACCAATGCAGTTACAAAAAAGGAGGGAGAGGGAGAGGAGGAGGAAGAGAAAGAAGAAACGGGAGGGGGGAAGAAGGGGAGAGGGAGAGAGGGAGAGAAAATGCGCATCCATCTTCACAGAAAGGATAAAGGAATGTATATATGTAACAAAATGACACTTTGCACCATAAGCCCTGGCCAAAGGCCTACCCCAGAAAAAACACTTTCCAGCATTTCTGAAATGAAACACAGCACTGAACGAAACTCTGCTAAGAACATACCAAGTGAAAATGGAGAACAGCGATTTTTATCAAAACTGCTATCTTAGAATATGTAGACTCACCCTTCAATTTCTGTCTAACTACCATTACTGTACCACCTGCAACTTCATGGTATTGTGACCCATACAAACATCTTGAAAATCTGTCTCCTTTCCCATAGAGTGAGCAATTTGGTTCAGTATCCTGAGAGATGAAAAACTCATCTCAATTTACAACAGTAAAATAAATAATTCAGTTAAAACTGAAAGTGGTACCAACCCAGCAAACTATTGATGGAGAGATCTGGCCGTCCATGAAGGCAGAGCAACATGAAGTTTTCAATGAGGATTACTTGCTCAGACAAGTTACACACATGATAAAAATGCCCAGATGAATTATGAAATAGCTAGCCTCCTCATTTTATGGAAAATAAGTATCAAGAACCTACATGGGCAAAGACAGTTCCAGTGGCATTTCAACTTTAAGCATTCTGAGCTCTTAACTTTATAGACTGAAACATCAAACAACCATTTACCCAAAAAAGCCATAACACAAGTCAAAACCTGACCAAAGGCCTCTATCAACTAAAAATTGGCAATTTTTCTACGCAAGTCCGACTACATTACAAGAAAAACGGAACATTCAAACCCTAAAGGCAAAACCAATCGAGTCTTCCAATCCTGACGCCAATATCCAAATCTCACACAGGACCCAACGGGGGAAACCCTCAGGGCTACAGATAGAGAAGCAGTTCCCAAGCAATCCAGACCCCGACATTTTCCCACTCAGAAACAAACGCAGTGGAGCTTTTGCTAGGAAAAAGAGAGGAAAAAATAATAATAAAACAGCTCTCCGAATGAATTTTGTCAGTGACATCCAGAAAGTGTGCCTCTTTCCGTGGCGCCTCATTGGAGGAAGGAGGGGGTTGTTTTTGTATTCTCCCCCACTGGAGCAAGACACAATCAGATGTGAGCTGGAGCAGAGAGACCACTTTGGACAACAGCAAATAAAAATAAAAGTGCCCTTCCTCCCCTGACAGGATGGACACCCCACCTCACACGCCCCTCCCCACTCCAACCCCTCCTTCCCTCACCTCCCACCCCCCAGGACCACCCCCTCCTCACCCCGGAGCTCCACTGCGTCTGTGGTTTGGTGCTACTGTTGCCCCGGAGTGAAAGTCAGAGCCAGAGGAAGGCAATGAAGCCCCCCCACACACACTTACCTTTCCTGCCCCCCACTTTGGAGTGCCTTCCCTGGAGCTGTGGAGGATGACACAAAGGGTAATAAAGGGGGGGAGTGGAGGAGGAGGCGCAGGAGGAGGAGGCGAGCTGGGTGTAGTGAGATGTCTCCAGCCAGGGCCAAGCAGCAGCAGTAGCAGCAGCAGTAGCAGCAGCAGTAGCAGCAGCAGCAGCAGCAGTAACAGCAGCAGCAGCAGCAGCAGAGGAGGGTCTGTGTTGCTAAGAGGCTTTTGGTCTTTCTCTCCTCCTCTCACGGCCAAAGAGGAGGGGGGTGGAGGGGGCTCGAGAGGGAGGCGAGTGGAGGGGTGAGGGGGTAGGAGTCGTGGATGGGGGTTTTCGAAGAAGAAGAAACTCCTTCTTCTCTCTCTGGCTCAATCCCCCTTCTTAGGGCTCGGGGCTGGAGGGTGGGGGAAGGAACTCAGTCGCCTTTTCCCCCCACCCCCCCTCAATTCAAGGTTGAAGTGGGGTGAAATGAGTGTCCTGTCCCTTTAAAAATAGAAATAAAAGGTGCCCCCCCCTCTGCCACTGCCTCTCTCTTCATCATCAGCTGCTGCTGCTGCTGGGGTCTCTCTGCTTGGGGGGGAGGGGGGGCTCGGGTAGAAGAGCCTGGAGGCACTCACTGCGCATGTCCCTCTCTGACGGGAGGCTGGTTGGTGGACGGCAGGCGGAGGGGGAGGGGAGGAAATGAGATGTTTTCCCAGAAGGCTCTGAGGCGCTGGCGACCCGGAAGCCATTGTGGCGGGGGGTAGAGGGGCGGGGGCGGGGAGGAGGAGGAAGTTGCTACTCTTCCACACCACCCTCCCACCCCGCCCTCCCTGCTAAGGGAAAGTGGAGGGACGGAAGTGGGCGGGGCAGAGCCCGATGCGGGTCACGTGGTCGGACGGGGGCGTGCGGGGCGGCTTGCGCGCGGGGCATGCCGGGAAGGGCTGTGGACCAGTGGCAGCTGCAGGTGAAGCCGAGGAGAGGACGCGGCGAGGGCTGCTGCGGAGCAGTGTCTGCAGTCGCTGGGTCGCCGCTTTGTCTTGTTGAAGACCTCGCTTTTCTGCGCGAGGTATCACGGGGTGCGCAAGCTTCCAACAGGGAAGCCGGTGGATAGAGGCTCCCCGCATCGGGGAGGATGGCGGGCTGGAGGGAGCTGCTGTCGGGGAGTGGGCAGGCTTGCGTAGGCCGTTCTCTGCCGTGACCTCCCCGGATTCTGTCCACAAGGCGAGAACAGTGGGCCGTGTGTGGGCCCGAGCACGGGGACAGCCGGGACCGGGTGTGCGGCACGGAGCAGGTCGGGGCGCCTGGAGTGCAGTTTCCCTCGGTGTTGGAGTGGTTGCTGCATCTGAAAGCTTAGGCGTGTTTTTGCAAGACGGGTGTGCAGTGCTGTCGCTGCTAATACTGTTTTGCGGTTGTTGGAGAAGGGACATCAGCAGATTTTTCCGACCGTCAGCGTGGAGGATAGACTTTTTTTAAGGGTTTGTTCGTCTTGTTTCTGTGGATGTGTGCAGCATTTTAAGCTTTAGGCTTCTCATTTAAGTGTTACTTGTTCTACTTGAAATAATGTATCAACCTGATCAAAACTAAAGTCATGTAAGAAAGGATTCATAGTATTTACTTTCATAAGGACTTATTAGTAACAGTTTATCTCATGGACTCTTAACTTTGAAAAATCCTAATCTTTATAGCCGTGCTTTGAAGAATCATCGCATATATGTATGTGTATATACATGTTCAAACGAAGAACTTGAAACGCCTGCTGTTCGTTGTCTTGTGTTTATTAGTGCTGTCATATGAGCTTTTTAAGGTACACTGTTGAAGTCCTGGTTTACATACTGTTTCCTGAAGATTTGGGCAGTGAATCCCATTTGTGCAGTGTGGTTTAGAGCATACTGCTTTGTGTTGGCCCAGTGTCATGTCAGAGGGATTCAAAACTAGACCCCCATACTGCATATTTTCTTTACCTTGACAGAAAAAAAATGCAAGGCACATAATGTGCCATAGATAGGATTCTTTGTCATAAAATATTAGATATACAAGAAGGTGCCTCAAACGTATGTAATATAATCTGTGAGTCAGGTGAACTCTGTAATCACAACCAATGTCAGGAAGGAGCCCCCCAGTGGCTCCAGGAGAGCACCCCTCCCCCAACCACTCCCAACAAGGATGCTGCACATCCTAGCTGGACGCCGTCTTTGCTGCTTTGGTAATAATCACAGATCTCACCGTTAATACACGGAATGAACTTTCCCTGATCAGATAGTTTCCTTGCTATGTAGTGATGTTAATAGTATAACAAGTGTTACAGTTCTTTTTAGGAATCAAGTAAGTAGAGACAATTAGTGTGGTGATTGGTAGACATTTGGGTGATGTTCAATTTTAGACTGATAAGAACGATGCCACAAGGAAAGTCGTTATACTTGCTTGCCTACAGTTATAATACAGTTATAATCCTCTATTTTTGTATGTTCACCTTCAGCATCACTTTTTTTTGTCGAACTTCCTCTAAAACTGGATGTAACAATTTATTACCCCCACAACGGTATATGATAGATCTCCTTATGTCTGCTGGCTCACTAACAGTTTATTTTTCGTTTTTACCATTCTGATAAACATAGCTGTGTCTTGTTTTAATTTGTACTGCTGTGGTTACTAATGACATTCAAACCTTTCTCAAAAACTCTGGGGGCTATTTGGATGTCCTGTTTCTGTATTTACTGTCTTTTGAAGAGCCTCACAGTTTTTTTTCTATGGAGTTATCTGTTGTATTCAAACATGTGTGGCAATGTGACAAGTACCTTTTCCTTGCTTTGAGCATCCTTGTTTTCCTAGATCATAGCTGTATCTCCATTTAGTCCCTTGCTGGCTTATATACTGCTGCTGTTAATGGAGCTCTGTGTGTAGCCGTGATGTCATGGGAGCAAGTTCTATGATTCCAATACCCTTTCCAGTGCAACTGGCACCATCTGGCTTTGAAGCATTTGAAATGCATGGTATATCTGTTGGCTGACACTATTTGTTGCCATCATGTTATTAGTTTTCTTACTATCCCTTTGTTCTTAATTCCTTCCTGCATTCTGAACTTTTATTTGGGATCTTGCCATTTTCATGTAAATATAGACTTTAGAAATATAGTTTTGAGGCTCATTTTGATTCATTTTTTGCTTCTAGTGTCTTTGCTTTCATATCTAGAGGAATATATTTGGGGTTTGAATTATGCATTTGTGGTTATTGCTTTTTTACTACTCTAATGAAAGCTCCCTACCTTCCCATGGTCATTGTTTTGGCTTCCATCATTTGTTTTGAAAAGTCACCTGTCAGGTAGGTTCTTACTGTTTTGAAGAGATTTTTTAATGTAGTTTTTCTTCCATTTCTAGGAGGTATCTTTTTTCCTTTTAAATTCTTTTTCCTGCTTTAAGTTTATTGAGTTTCTTAAATCGTTGATCAGTGTCTTTTAAAAAATTGATCATGTCCATCCTTATATTTCTAGTTATCTGCTGGAAATACTGGCTTTTACTGATGTATCTGTAGTTGGCTTATTGTGTATACCCGACAGTTGCAGTTTTTGAAGAGTCTGCAGAGCCTGTGCTGGCTCGTGATATTTGTATGTGTGTACGCCTTATGCTTGTGGACCAGTCTCCATCAGACTGTATGATTCGTAAAAAGGTGCACTTTTCTAAAAAAGATTCCCGGGGATACTACCAATCTCAGTGCTTTCTGGATTTTCTAAGACATGGGATTCCTTCTGTTAATACACATGACATCAAGCAGACTTCAAGTTCATACAAATCCTGCCTTACTTCTAATTTTTTTTTTTTTTTATCCTGCTGTTGTCCTTGAAGACTCAAAGCGGGTGATGTTTTATCAGTCTCCAGCTGTACTGGGTGGGTCCTGTGCTTTAACTTCTTATGGTATCCTAGCAGAACCTCTAACAACTCAGCCTTATTTATCAACTTTTTCTTCTGTGTAGACAAACATTATTGGAACAAAAGTAGCAGTGTGGCTAATTTTTGGTTTACCTTCCAGACTTGAGTATATAGTTCCACACTGCCTCCCTACTTTCATCTTTAACGGGACTGTTGGTCAAGTATTACATTACCACAAATAGGACACTTATAACTTTTTTTTTCTCAGGTTTCATTTTAAGTTCTTTGTGATTCTAGCCAAAGCTTAATGTTTAAACTTATTTATTAGTCTTTTTAGTCATGTTTTTCTGTGCAGTTTAAGAGGTGAAGTAAGTGAAAAACTAATAGTTTCAAGGATAACTATTTGTTGGAGGTTGAATTCTGAAGAGTATTTCCTGTTGCATTTGCTTTGTGGTAGGCAGAATATTTGAGGCTTTATCCTTGTATTTTGCTTAGTCCTGGGAAGAATAAGATGTTGGATGAAGTAGCTTCCATGAGGTTCATGGGCATCCATGCCCCCCCCACACACACTGAGGCAAACACTTAAAAATTGGGGGCTGATTGTTTTGATCTTAAGGCTTCAAATCTCTAAATAGCATCTTATTGTGCTGTTTCTTTTTTTCCAATTGTAGGTGTTATCTGTTGAATTGATACTATGGATGGTGCACAAATTGATTATTTCTTCCATATTCCCTTATCTTACCAATGATGACATGGTTTCGTTAGGTGACTTTTCTGTATTTGTGCAGTTTACAAATAGCATTAGTTAGGTCCTAGACTGTTAACTGCTTTTCAGCCTGTCGTCTCCATTTGCTCAGAAGTATCAAATCCACCATTGAACTGTCATGAATTTTTTTGCTAGAAACTTTTCTTGATTTGTTTCCACTTTTAGCCCTTTGCCAGATACCATGGCTATTGTGCGGTCTTCCATTGCATATCCTGTGTCATGCATTTTGTATAATCCTTTGTCTTGTATACTCTTTCATTTGGATCCTTCAACCTTTAAGTGGATTTTTATCTCAGAGTAGTTGTTTGGCCAGATGTAGAATTTTAAGTTAGAAGTGTTTTTCTTTGGAATTATGAAAGAATTCTTAGCATTTGTTTGAAGCTTATGGAATATGCTTTTCTGTACTGAAGTTCTAAAATGTAATATGTCTTATATGTTTGCCGAGCATTTAATGAGTCTTTTCAGTCTACCAACTTAATCTGTCAACTCAGATAGCTCCTGATTTTTAAAAATTAATATTTATTTGTCTGTTTATTTATTTTGCCTGTAATTTTCTTCTGTGAATTTGATTTTTAAACTTTTAAGTAACTGTTTTACTTCCTGGGCCTTTTTCTTTTCTACTATTTTTCTCTCTACTTCCTAGAAGTTTTACTCTACTTTTTCAGTGCAAAGTGCCAACTTGAAATGAATTTTAAAACAGTTTATTAGTAGCTAGTATTTTCCTTGAATTACCTCTCATTCTTTTGCTAACATTGCTACATTGCATCTGCTAAGGCATATTTTTCCCATAGTGGGATTTGTGCTTCATTGTATGTATTTATTTATATTTACTTATTTATTTGAAAGTAGAGAGAGATCAAGGGAGATATAGCTATTCCATCTGCTGGTTCTCTCTGGATGGCCGCAGCAGTCAGCCTTGAGTTGGCTGTGTTT